CTCTGTGCGTGATAGGGGGTGGCGTCGCAACCTCCCCATCGACCCTGCCTTGAGTGTGACAGGGGCGGTGCTCCAACCCCCCAGTCGGCCGTACCCTGAGTGTGACTGAGGGCGGCATCACAACCTCCCGATCCACCCTGCTCTGTGCATGACAGGGGGCGGCGCCCCAGCTCCCCAATCAGCCCTGCTCTGAGCCCGACCAGGGGCTGCACCTAGGGATTGGGCCTGCCCTCTGCCACCCGGGAGCAGGCCTAAGCCAGCAGGCCGTTATCTCCCGAGGGGTCCCAGACTGCGAGAGGGCACAGGCCGGGCTGAGGGACCCCCCCCCCTTCCCCCCGAGTGCACAAATTTTTGTGCACCGGGCCTCTAGTATATATATAAGAAGACAGCATAACTGTGGCCTCAGAGGATTAACAGAGAGAAAGGTTGATGTCCCTGTGACTAGTCAAACAAAGTTGTGTGTGTGTGGGGGGGGGGGGTCCAAAGAGGGTATAGATTGGAGTGAAGGTCTTTCAGTTAGTGGTGTGAGGAGTCCAGTGGACCATCATAGGCTTTGAGGTTGCATAGTTCAAGCTCTGACTAAGCTATGTACTTGCCAGGTCATTGTTAATAAATTGCTTAACCTTTCTAATTTTTTAATCTGTAAAATTGGGATGATAATACCTACTGCATGTGTAGGTGTGAGAAATACAGATGATGATGCATATATGTTAGCTAGGATTATAGAAATGTTAGCAGAGCAGGGATGATTAAGACCTAAGCAGGAGACACATGCTCGCCAGTTAAGTATGAGCCTCAGCTGTCCAGCCAAAGATTTTGGGTTTGGAGTAGGGACTCACCAAGAGTCACAATTATATGGATAATATAACAAAAGAAATGTTTTCATTCCTCCAGTCAAGAAGGTTTGACTGGAGGAATGAATAATGGTATCCAACCTTTATGAGCACTTAACTACATACCAGACACTGTTTTAAGCAATATAAGCATTATCTCATTTAACAATACTGAAGAGGAGGAGCAGAGAATGGCTGATGTGGGGAAAGCTAAGAGGCAATGGGAGGAATATAGTGGTGAGGGAATTAGGAACTTGAGTATTATGGTGGCTATACATATAGAGAGTGATGCAGAAATACAGTAGACCCTTTGGGGACAAAAATGAGGAAAGGGTCACATTAATTGATGCCGCTAGAGAGCATGATTCCTCAATTAAAATAAAAAGCAGAAGTTGTGCTTAAGAGAACTTTCCACTCACAATTCCCTTTTCTTGTCAACCTTGATTTACTTCTTCAGCCCCCTCTACTCGCTAGCTTTTCAAGCATCTTTCTGTGAGGCTGCTGGAAGGAATCCTGTTGAATCTCTTGCTTTATTTTATTTTATTTTATTTTATTTTATTTTATTTTATTTTAGGACAGTGTACACATTTCAAGACCCTTTGCCCCACCCCCAGTTGTTGATTTCCTCCACTCACCCCAAAAACTGATACAGTAGCTCTTTTGATTTTTCAATTTGCATCATATCTTCAAATATTAATTCTACCAAGTATATGTGAACACTCCAAAGAGGCAAAAATGCTACAGAATTCATGTGACTTATTGGGGAAAAAAAACATTAAACCAATATCATTCCCAACTTCACAGAATGAGAAATAATTAAAGTTAGACACTACCCTTTAGAAAGAGAGTGGGGAAATTTTTTTTCTGAGCTGAGAGACATTTTGGGCTTCTCATGCCACAATAATTATTGAATAGAAAAGTCATAAAGGGCTGAAAATAGAGGTTTGTTCCTGGATGTATGACAGATCCTTCCTAAATGACAGGATGGGTCATAATTTTAATGAACATGGTGACATACCCATCAATTATCCTTGGATGTGAATGTGACAGTGTGAGTATGAAAAAACTGGAAAGCAAGTAATTTCAGCCAGTGTATTCCTACATCTCTGTCAACAGTTGTCAAGAATCTAAATGACCCAAACTAGATAAAATTAATTTTATGTATAAAAAGAACCTCATTTGCATATTCAAAACACCTGAGCTTAGAGACATATGGATAAAATTACAGAACATCCCACAGTGAAATATGACACTGAAGTACAGTAATGGAGAAAGACGGGGTGAGGGATGTGGGACACCTTGG